GAAATCATCCTCCATTCCTTTTTCCAAATCTTAGGTGATGTACTTTTCCTCAGTCTTTCCGTATGTGGTGCTCTTTATTTTCCTGATCAGAGGGTTGATGTTGGATGGTGCAATGGACGGAATCACCTATATGTTTTATCCTAAAGTAAGCACACATTTAATTTTAAATCGTATTTCTGTTGCCTTTTTTAATTTACTCTCATCTGATCAGTGCCAAATGGAAATTAAACTTAGACTTTATGAAACTTTGATTTTCTATGTTTTTCAGCTGGAAATCTGGGGTAATGTGCAGGTGTGGCGGCAGGCTGCTACACAAGTGTTTTTTGCCCTCGGACTGGGCTATGGCTCCGTGATTGCATATTCCTCCTACAATCCAGTCCACAACAACTGCCACAGGGATGCGCTGATGGTCTCCGCAATCAACTTCATGACTTCTGTGTTGGCCTCGCTAGTGGTTTTTGTTGTGTTGGGTTTCCGTGCCAAGAACATCGCACTACGCTGTGTGGCTAAGTACGGATGTGTGGATGTGTGTGCGCCAATATTGCCATTGGTACTGATAATATTGGCCCCCTTATTAACTACATCATTTCTAATTTAGTTAATCTAAATAACTGCTTTCACATTTGTATAATTGGAACATACTAAAAAAGGCCGTAATCACAAATAATTTTTGCCTGAAGGCTGAAAAAAAATATTTTAAATATGTGTTGAGTTCAGTCATATTTGCAGTGGATTGTAAATGTAATAAATCAATTAGTCAGCAGGTTGATGAAAGTATTAAAGGCAAACACTTTCAAAGATTGATGAAATACAACAGTATGAGAGCACCCAAGGTTGGAATATTACTTGGCGTGTTAATTAACCATGACAATTAACCATAATATTGGAGTGATTTACTTTCTTATATGTTATCCTTTTATTCTAACCTCTTCCAGGAATCTTGGTCACCTAAGCACCATGACGCCCCATGAATCTCACCAGACCCTTGGTTGGCCTTGGATCAACACGACAGATCCTGGCTCTGTGTCTTTAGTTGAATACAGGCAGTGGTACAGTCACCACAGCTCCTTTGTGGGTCCTAACATCACTGATTGCAGTCTGGAGGAGGAGATGAATAAGGTATCATTGAGATATAATTTGAATGAACTTTCTTTATGTTGGGGCTATCAAGACAGGAGTTCTAAGCATCTTATGACTTTAACAAAGAGATAAAAGCAGCAAAAAAAAAAAAGCAACATTTCAATAACAATAGTAAGTAGGTGGAGTGCTGACGTTCCCAGAACCCCTGAGGAATCTGTGAGGTACTGTAAAATATCCTGCTGGCAAGAGGAAGAAAACATATCGGTCACTGCATCTAGTAGGTGTCTGGAGGAGAGGGAAGCGTGCTGTGATAGAGGAGTGAAAGGAGAAACTAAAGAAACAGAGGAAGGGGTACTAAAAGTCATGTTATCTAACAGTGTTTACACTGTACAGAGGTACAGGAGCAGTATATTTTTAAGTGGCCTTCTTTTGCCGGATATGTAGCTGTAGCTATGTAGCTGGATCGACCATAAATGTGCAAAACACTTCCAGAGCTTGTTTTAAATGTTCAGCATTAAATAAAGTATAAAGCATAAAGCACTGGTTATGAGGCCCTGGTGGCACAGTGAATATACCCCTCACCCCTACTGCAGAGACTACTACAGCGGGGCATCTGGTATGGTGCTATTGCCCGAAGGTGCACAGAGCCACCAAATACTTGTTTGTAATCTGCAGTCAACATTTATTAAACTCTTTTTCAGACTTTTCCACCTCTTCTGTCTTCCCTTTGCAGGGTGTTGAAGGGACCGGTCTGGCATTCATTGCTTTCACTGAGGTGATGGCCCTGTTCCCTGCCAGCCCCTTCTGGTCCACACTGTTCTTCCTAATGCTGCTCAACCTGGGCCTCAGCACCATGTTTGGGACCATGCAGGGAATCCTCACACCTCTGATGGACAATTTTAGCCTCTTGGGGCGCCATCGGACCCTTCTCACTGGTAAGGCACACGCATGAACACAAGTTCAAACAATGCTTGGTATTAGAGGGAGTCGCATGCAGGCATTTATGGTTAAAATGAAGATTTATACAGTATAATATTTCTCCTTAGGCAGTGCATTTTGATATTTGACTGTATACTGAATAAGCCTGTCAGCATTTTCTAACTTTTCTTTAGAATTTAAAAATCTATTGCCTCTGAATACTACACAAAACATTTACAGACAAGGTTTTGACAATACAGTGGTGTATTATTTTATATATACATCATGTTTGTTCAGATAAAAGCTATTTTCTCACAATATCTGTTTTCTTTTTTGTCTTTCAGTGTCCAGCTGTGTTTTGGGGTTCATAATGGGACTGTTGTTCACCCAGCGCTCAGGCAACTATTTTGTGACTATGTTTGATGACTACTCTGCAACTCTACCGTTGGTCATTGTAGTGATCTTTGAAACCATTAGTGTGGCATGGGTTTACGGCACAGATCGGTAAGAAACACACATTTCTGGAAGCTTTTTTTCTATTAAATTATGTATTTATTTCTTATTCTGAAAAGATGCATCTCATTTAAACTCAACTTTCCATCACTGCAGCTTCCTGGATGACATTGAAGTGATGCTCAAATGGCGCCCTCCAGTGGTTTACAAATATCTTTGGAAGTATGTGTGTTTACTGGCGATGATAGGCCTTCTGGCTGCCAGTTTGTTGCGTATGGTCTTCAAAAGGCCCACATACACTTCCTGGAATCAAAACACAGTAAGATACTGGACCACAGCTTTTTGTCTTACACAGAAGAATTTAATTTCAAAGTACACTGTTACAGTTTACAATCTATGGGGACATATAAACCAAGATACCAGTTGCACTCAATAACTACTATAACAAATTCTGATTTGTTTCAAGCTGTTGTTTGTACTGTGGTAAACACGGTTAACTCTTGAGCAGTATTGTGCCTGCCCATGCTTCTCTGACATGCTCTGTCTCTTCCTCTCTTCAGGCCTCTGAGATGACTCTGGAGTACCCTGGCTGGGCCCTTGCAATGATTGTCATGCTTATACTCTTTGCCAGCTTGCCTGTGCCTATTGGCTACATCCATTCCATGTTGAAGAACCGCAGTGTCCCTAATACTGGCTCTGAAGAGGCAGTCGGCCAGGAGATGCACCGCGAGTTGTACACAAAGTGCAGCTCCACAGAGCAGCTGGATTCCAACTCCCACCACCAAGTCCTTTCTGAGGAAGAAAAGGCTCGTCCCAGGACTGCCTTCCTGCCGATGGGCAACGAACACTACCGGCTCCTGCCCCAGCAGGAGGATGAAGATGAGGAACTGGATACGCGGGTGTGAGCACAGCTGTGGGAGGATAGATGTTTGTGAAAGGACAAAATGTTTAAATGTTAAACCTCAGAGATTGTAAGAGTAAGAGAGATTGCAAAGAGAAGGGAGGGCAGTCATAAACACACCTATTGGGTTGCGTCCATTTATCATATTCAAGTTATTTTAACTATTTATATTATTGATGGTGCGTTACCAGTCAAACCAAAAGCTTTTTAGATTCTGTAGTGATGAAACTACAACTCCTTCTTGTACCTCTCTCCATTCATTTCTGAATCATCATACTGTTCAGAAAATGAAAACACAGATGAAAAAGGAACAAGCTGCTATATTTGGTGATTCAAAGAATTTACGGAAGGTTTTAGAGTTGGAAATTAGACCAGTGGTTTGACAGCCGCCAGCACGTCAAACCAGGTTTGTCTATTGTTTCTGCTTTTAACTGAGTTGACTGGTGTTTAAAGGAAAGGCAGCAACAGACAAAAATATGTTTTATGAGTATTTTTAGCTTAATGCCAAATATGGATTTCTACCTTGAGGAACTGTGATGTGTGTGTGTGTGTGTGTGTGTGTGTGTGGTGGTGTGCTGTGTGTGTGTGTGTCTGAACATTTGTGTTCATTAGTTTGGATGTGAAATGACATGTTAATATGTCAGTAAAGATACCTTTTACATTATATTTGTATCATTTTACCTCATAAGACGTCAGCAATGTTTTTACATGAGTTCAGTGTAGCAGTATTGTACTGTATTAGATGAGGACTTAAATAAACCTCTAGATGGCAGCAACCTGATTGGATGTGTCTTTTATGATTTACACCATAACCACTCAAATATGAAACAGAGAATGCCTTCAAGAGATCGCAGAGAATATTCATGGGGGCCTTATGTATGGACATTTGATTAAAAAAAAAAATATATATATATATATATAGTTTATTTATGCTGTGAAAGAGTAGATGAAATGTTGACGGGGGGTTTCTAATTTGTTTTTACTGTGCCATTGTTAAAGGTCTCAGAATATTGAAGAATAGAAATGTTTTCTATGGTGGGCTTGGTGGGTGAAGTGCAGAATAGTAATTTAAACGTTTAGCAATTAATGATATTGCCAATCAAATTTGTCTTCAAATCACATACATGTTATTAAATGTTAAAAAAAATTTGTATTTTGATATAATTTACTAAATTATATTTGAGGTTTTACTTGTAGGTTAAGTCCCTTAATTATAGCTTTATCAATTAGATTTTATAGGCTGCCTGAACAAATCTCAGATGAAAACATCCTGAGAGACTGAAAAGGAAAGAAAGTCTGCAGTGCAAAGAAATGTCCTAATAATGCGATATTAATAAAATCATAAGCCATTTGTTGAGGTTTGTTTACTGCCCCTGCCACTAAGTTTCCCCTGTACTGTCAACTTCTTCCTTTTAATGTTAGAGGGAACATTTTTCAAGAAGGTAAATATGGATCATTGGTTTAGACTTATGATGAATTATTCCATTATAAATGTCCAATAAAGACCACAGGCTGCTATAACTCGCAATGAACCAGAAAAAAAGACCGACACCTTTCTGTGGGCCATCTGAGAGTGGAGGCTGGTGGGGGGTAGGGAGGGATGAGAGAGAGAGAGATAGAGGGAGAGAGAGGACTGTGCGCGCGCGTTCAGGCAGGACAGGAGGGCGCGCGGGACATCAGCACACCGGCCGGGTCAAGAAGCTGCAAGGATGGAGATCCGACCAGACAGGTTTAAGGCGGTCGCGGGAAAAACTCTGGGGAAAATTCACAGGTACACACCTATTTTCAAATATTCCTCACTCCACCTCAGACTTTTCCCCCGTTTTCACGCTTTTTCTGGGGATAGTTTTGTTGTGCGGGACACAGCCGCTCATCGTGCTGCGGGTTCCCATCCTCTCTCCTCCGACCGGTAACCCTGTAGTGGGGGAAAAAGTTTCTGGGATGTTGGTTTTAACTGGGAGAAGAGGCGTCTGATGGGTTTAAGCCGCAAACATCATGCAGGTTGTGGCAAAAGTCCAGGTTTGCGCAGCGCACAGTGCGGTGATTATTGGGTCGACAGGAGAGTGTGAAAGATGCTGATATCGATGGAGAAAATGTCGGGCTGTAGTTTCACGGATAGTTCATTTTTATTTGGTACCTTGCCGGAAAACAAACAAACAAATGATGAAACAACCACAGGAGCGCTCAGTTAAAGTGCAGTGAACTCACTGTAGAGTGCATGTGGGACCAGGGGTTGGGGGACTAGGGTTTTTTTCTGGTTGTGGTTTGATGCTTTATTGGGTACTTCTCCTCTAAAAATCATTAATGATGCTGTTGCTCTTGCTAGATTGGGCCAGCTCGAGTACACTGGCGTTTGAGGCGAGAATAAAGTGTGGTTACATAATGTTTCCGTGCGTTATTGGCAGATGGAACCAAAGTCATTATCCGTCTTGTAACATTTTAGGGCATCCTCTGAAAAGTTACTAATGTCTTTCTTTGATCAATGAACCATGAGATCTCAGGCTATTATTCATCAGATTTACCAATTAACCAACTAACATTGAATTGTATATATATATATAAGAAAGCTAATGCTGCAACCAGTTGGTTGATCAAGAAAGAGACAAAGAAACCACAATAACAGTCATTATTATAGTATATGAAGCTGAAGACATGAACAAAAACTCAATTGGCAAATATTTTGATAAACAACTAATCTTTTGAGTTATTTTTCTAAAAATATTATAATAAAATAATATTAGGTCTTGCTAACAGCTTTCTTTTTCTTATGTAATAGAAATTGAATATCTTTCATTTGTGGACTTTTGGACAAAACGAAAAAATTGAAGATGTTACAGTGGACTGAAGGATTTTTAAAATTTTATTTTATTTTTTTTTTAAACGATTGTATATAGTAATAAACCGAAACCTGTACATCTGCATCACCTCTACACAAAGTGGCTCTATGAGATGGTTTGTGAAGAAGGAGACCATGACTATGTTTGTGCCAGTGTAATTTCTAAAGAAAAGACTGAAAAACATCACTGCAGTCTCTTATATCATAAATGTGTTAAATATTGCAAATTAATTGCATATCAATACAGAGGTTCAAACTCATATTGGTGTGCTGACAATATTTCAATAAAAAAAGAGAGATTAAAGACACCGATAGAACCTCATGCAATAACCTTTGCTTTAAGCTTTCGCTCTCTCAGGATTTGAGGTAGCAACCAAACGTATAAATCCCGTCCTGAAATAGCCTGTTTTTCAGTCCAGATGTCGAGCCACGCAAATCCCTAAACTCTCCCCTCCCACTCACTCCATCCCAGCCCATGTCACTTCCTCCAGCCGCTCCCTCCTCCTCCATCGTCCATCCATCCATCCATTGAGCTTTTGCGACACCAGCACAGACAAGTTTCAGCCTATCAGGGTGTCCCAGATTAACGGACATGCAAATCTCAGGCTTTTTCTCTTTTACTGGTCGTGAGCCGTGCATGTGCGCGGCACAGCTGATGCTATGAGAGATGTGATGTATCAGATTGGATCCAGATTGGTTTTAGTGGGTGTTTCCTCGGCTTAGCCAGCGAACTCTGGTTTAATGTGGCCGCAGTGTTAAATGCAGGCAATGGTTTCAATAGGAAAAGTGAACGTTATTTTATTTGGGAATTGTATGTTTTGAGGAATGCATTTGTGTGTGTGTGTGTGTGTGTGTGTGTGTGTGTGTGTGTGAATATGTTGCATCTTCAACACAGGACATCCCCGCAGTGTGTGAATAGATGAGTGTCTGTGTGCAATCTCACTCTCAGACAAAATCCCTCCTGATGAAAGCAGCCAGGAGTTCATCTATTATTTAAACATTTTCTCCATCAGAATGCATCTCCTGTTTCTATATTAAACTCCACTAGGTAAGCATAAACTCAAGCACTGTAAGGTCAAGTGCACTCTACATCTCTACTCTTACCATTCCTTCTTTTAACATCTTCAAATTAATGCCTATACTTTATCTATCCATCTCCTCGTGCCAAGGAACTCTTCCTCAGCACTACATGAAATATGCTACAGCAATCTTCTCATCAGCATTTTGATTACGTGTAAAAGTTTCTAAAAACAAATGCCACATACAGGTTTATTAAAAGACTTTTAATTTAATCCGCCTTTTGTTTGCATCAGTAAGATTGCACGGGAGAGCTTGTGTTTCCCTACTCACAAGGCAATACAGAATATAACAGGTAATCCATTTTTAATCGACTTTACTTGCTGTGTGGAGTGCTACATTTTCAGTAACCTCACGCAGTGGTCTGAAAAATGTTCTAAATAAAATATTCAAATTGTAATGAGATGAAACTATGCTTATTTATTTGTTACTATTTATGTTTTGTCAAACTACAAGAACTGCAAGGTCCTTGGCATCATTTGAATCATATAGCATTCTTATAAATGTACGAATTATTGTGAATCACTGTATTATTTATTACACTATGTTCTTGACATTAATACTTTAAGTACACCCAGAGACAGAGCAGCTTTGCTTCTTGGCTTCATTTCTCTGTGCATGTGCACAATCAGAGGGGTTTCCTGATGAGTGATGGGTTTGTATCACGTTTGTTGGACACCTGTGAAATTTAATATTGCGGTTAACTTACTTTAGTCACTTTTGCACAATACACTGTAGGTGGTAGGATGGCCAGAGGTTAATATTTTCATAATGAAAGAAAAAAAACAATGACCAATGCAGTGCTGTGAAAAGCAAAGAAAAATCCATTTTAACAAATGACCTCACATCAGTTTAGGGATTGTGATGATTACAGTACACTGTGCATAATGGAAGTTCGAATGTTACAGCCATTGACCTGGTTGTCAGGTGTAAAGATGACTCTACTCTGCTGGCAGTCATTGTAGTTGAGGCAGAAAAACATCACTCAGTGAATCCTGGGAACCGACAGCGTGCTCTTGGAGACTTTTTGAAAAGACTCCAAAATGCCACATTTGAGACGCTTCTGCTTTGTGTCTCTCTGCCTGTCTATGCCGGTGTGTCACTCTGTCTACATGTAGTGTTGTGTGTGGAAGAGGCTACATATACACAGGTTTATTGAAGGGTCTACCCAGAGGATGGATGCATCAGAGCTCAGCAGTTTGGAAAGTCAACTGCAAACACTCAGCATGCGCGGTTATTGGCAGCAGTGCTGTTGTATCCATGATGTCAGCAGTGCATCAGTATTTTATATTTACATTGCAGACATGCGTTCTTGGGTTTAACGCCGTGGCACAGAACAGAGCTGGGTAGCAAATAAACAAGAAGAAAAGAGTTTTTTTTTAGGATATATATGTTATGACCCCCCCTCGGTTTATCATTAAGCTGTCTAAAAGTGGTAATGAGAAGCAGTGTGTGAGCTCTATTATGTGAGTATTTAGAAAAGAAGTCTATGAAGGTCACACGTGTGAGTGTTTGAACGTTATGTGTGTGTGTCTGTGTGTCCACAGGAGAGAGAGAAAAAAAAGGCGTGTGACAGGATGGGGAGGAGGGTGTCTCCCTGGGTGACACAGTCCCACCGAGACCCAATCTGTTCACTTCAGGGAGAGTGAGAGGCTCGTGGAGGAAGGGGGGGACACCACTACTGAAATTACTAAAATATCTGCAGAAATTTCAGTTTGAAAATTAAAAAAGACCTCAAGCTACCACCCAAACACCTTACCTACAAATAGAGGGGAATTAAGGGGGAAATCATTTTTAGAAAGGAGGACTAGAGAGGGGCTGACATTAGGAAAGAACAGCATGGCTTACATACAGCACAATGAACTGATTCTACAATTCAGCACACGGATGTGGACGAATAATGACCAGGGCGTCTGTCGTTATATAATATTTTTACTGTCGACCTCCCTTGCTGTCTGTCTCTTCCTCTCCATCATCCTCTTATGAGAGGATTACACAGAGCGCTCTGTGAATTGGTGAATTTAATATACACGGTAACAAAAGTCCCAGGTCACCAACCAGCACGTGAGAGTCAGTGTTTTTTGTCATAGCTCATATATTATTGCAAAATCATAAATTAGGTGAACATTTATTGGCAACTGATAATAATATAATAGTCAAACAATAGTTTTAGTATTTTTTTAAGCAAAAATACCAAAGCATTGATGGTTACAGATTATCAAATGTGAGCAAATCAAATGTTTGTTTTTCATATATATGAATAACCTGAATATATCTTTTGGGCTGTTCATTTAATAAAATATGTTGTATAAATACATAATTTGGGGCTTAATGAAAATAATGGTTAGTATTAGCCCCACCTTAAGTTGAAAATGCAAATGAGCATTGTTTTAGGCAGCTCTACTTAAGATAAGTTAGGGTTAGTGGCATCTAGTTGTGAAGTTGCAGATTGCAACCAGATAAATACAGCTTAGCCTTCCGAGCATGTAGGAAAAAACTATGGTGGCTGCTAAAAACCGTGAAAGGTCCAATCAAGAGCTAGCTTTTGGTTTGTCCATTCTGGGTAGAAACATAGCGGTTCAACATGGCGATCTCAGTGGAAGAGGACCCGCTTATTGTAAGGTAACAAAAACACAACAATTCTTATTTTCAGGTACACTACTAAAAAGATACTTAGGAATATTATATTTCATTTCTGCCAATAGATCCTCCTCAATGTTACACAGTGAAGTTTATAAAAGGCCAGTTTATAAAAGCACTGAAGCCTTTTTATTTGTTAGAATAAATCACTATGGACTTTATCAGGTTAACTTTAGCTGCCTGTACTCAGGTGACAAGCACAAATATGAGCTCAGTTTGAGGTGTGAGTAGTTACTGAGTCTCCACTGAGCCTGTTACTATTGTAATTATGATATTTCAGCGAGCCTGAGGTCACGGGACTCCTGCCTGCTCACGCTCTCTGGCTCATTAATTGTTGCCAGCTGAGACCAATCAGGTCCTCTATGCTAACGAGAGACGCTACATCAGCTGAGTGGCTGTGAGCGTCACATGGAGGCAAATGTCCACTTCTCTCTGTGTCTCATACCTCTATTTACTCAAAGAAGCAGCCTTTTTTAACAGCCAGTACAAAACTGCAAACTGAAAATAGCAGTAAACTCCTTTTATTATCACATTAAAACACCATATCAGAAGAGGGAGACCCTCAGCTAGTCAGCTACTGTGAGACACTTACACACATTAGGGTGAAATTGCCTTTTAGCAAGAAGCATCTGTAATTAACGGTAATTTTTGCTGTGGGCTAGCCTCGTTAGCTGGTAGCGTATGTGTAGGTGTGAGGCTGCAATCTGTCGTGAGGTTTAATGAGGATCCTCCTGCAACCTTCACAAACTCTGAAGTAGGATACTGAGCTCCACTCAGGGGGCAAGTCAGCACATTTGTTCAGTACAGATAGGACAGCAGTGTGAGTGTGGCCAACTGATTCAACAGAAAACCATGTACACACCTTCCTTTGTGTCACATCAGCTTTGTGATCAACTTATTGCTTTGATTTACATAACTGGTAACAATTTAATCTCTCTGTCTCTTGTGTTTGATGCACTGTGACTCATTTTGTTCACACCACTAAGTCAGTCAAACATGAATCTAAGATATGAAATATTTACCCAGCTCTTTTAGAAGAATATGATGTGTTTGTAACAGTGGGGCAAAGCATTGCAGAAATCATTCAGTGTTTGAGTTGAAACATAAAATAACTGCATGTAAATGAGAGCAATCTGATTTACAAAAGGACTAAAAAACTGCATCAAAGTCCGGCATGATCTCAGCAGTGTGTCGTGATAGAGGGAGAAGCATGCTGAACCACGCCCAGCGATAGGCTGTCCTTCCATATTCATTTCCGGAAGTAAATCATTTTTGTAATCCTAATCTGAATGTTGTGACAGATTAAGAGAGAGAGAGAGAGAGAGAGAGAGAGAGAGAGAGAGGATGCAGCCTCTCTAATCTCTTGCAAATTCCAAAACGTTGCTTTAAGTATTACTGTTCTGTTGTCCATTGTGTTTCACTTGACAAGTACCATATTTCACGATGGACCCAGGTTTAATTAATAAAACATTATATTACTACATATTTTTTGGTTGTTTATTGACTCATTGCATGGATGTATAAAGAGATTATTCAGAGCCTGCTGTGTGGAAATGGGGGAGGGAGTGAAATCCACATGCATAACTAAGAAATATAACGAATGGAGGGATGAGAGTAAATGCAGAGAAGCAGACAGACAGGCTAACAGATAGATAGATAGTGACAGATTATGGTGTAAAAGCTAGAGTGAATTATTTATCGCACCCAAAAACACATCAATAATTAACCAATGTCAGAGTCTGACTTGTCTTGTGTTGCGTGAATAAGTTATCTTGGAGCTTCAGTGTGCTGAAAGAGATGAATTGTCATGAATGTTTGCTTGAAAAACAGAGCGCAATTTAATACAGTAAACACATGTTTTGCACAGTTATTGAATCTCAGAATTTAAACAAAATTTTAAAAATGCAACCGTCCTTTGTCACATGGAACAAATCCTTGGTGGTGATTGTGTCTGTTTCTGTGCATAATTCTCCAGCTCACTGACTAACTGGATCAGCCCAATGGAAAGTGGACGGCTGACACACGACTGTGCTTTACCGTGAACTCACACATACCCCAAAACACACACACTCAGGTTAAAAACATATATACACTGGAGAGTGTGGCACTATGACTGATTTAATCTGAGGAAAATGGATCTGCAGAAAGCGTGTACTTAAGTCTGCCGTATTCATGTTTTTGAGTGTTTAATAGTGGGGGTGTGTTGTTGAGAGTATGAGGTTATGATACACAGATGGCCGCTCTCCTGACTTCTCTGTTTGACTCCTTTGGAAAAAAGTGACTGCCATTTCACAAAAATGGTCTTGCACAAATTGAGAAACAGCCTAAAATAACAACACATGTCGGTCTCTTCTTAGACAAACAGACAGTGTTTGACAGAATGTATGTATTTTGGGAAAAACGCTTCAGATATTGATCACACTCTTTTGCACTTCAGTGAATCGATAGTCAAAGTGATAGCAGGCTTGTTAAACAGGCCATCTCTACTCTCATCATCTCTGTTTCTGACCGTCTGAACAACCTCAAAGTATAATCACACACGTCTGTCCATTCAGTGATTCATGATATGGGTAGATGTCTGTCTCCAGAGAGCTACTCTTTGTGTCTGAGAGGACATCTTGGACAGCACAAGTATGGCAGCCAGTCCTGGACGTCGTGCAGGTACGGACACTGGGGGAATGTGCTGTTGTAGCTAAGTCTGCTCCTCAGCTAGTGACAGCTGCTTCCACACTCTGGGACACGCTGAGTCAGACACGACCTCAACATGGTGCATGCTGTCTACATGGAGGTGTGTGTGTGTGTGTGTGTGTGTGTGTGTGAAAAAGAGAGAGAGAGACTATGAAAAGTAGCCAAATTCTACAAACGTGTAAAGAAAAGATATATATTACTTTACACAGCCTCAAAATAGCATGGTAACCCCACAAAAAGTACACAAAGAGAAGACTCGTGATTATTGTCTTGCTAAAGATGTTTGATGGCGGCAGGCCACCATGTTACATTTCAAACCTCTACATACAAACAGATTTCTTTTTAAAGCTCACCTGACCTGGAAATGTTCCCCATACTCCCAGGAAATCCTCCATTGAGCCACTGTTTCCATGTTATGCAAGTTTTTGCCCCCAGTGGAGGTGTGACCTCACTGTCACCACACTCTCACCTCTGCTACCGTCTACATTTGGGTATTTAAATGAGCAGATATAACCTCTGAACCATTTGCGTGTATCAGCAAATTATAAATGCCAACATTAGAATTCTATGCATAACATTTCTTTGCTATTGTAGCACTGTTAAAACAGATCATCCCAATCAGGCTGTGTAAAGAATCAATATTACAGAGATGCATGGTAACCTGTTATTCCATGTTTGCAGAGGCTGGCTCGTAGTTCTCCTTTCCTTCATGCTCTCTCTGTCTCTGTGTCTCCTCTTAGGCTGATTGAGAAGCGGCAGCCCAATGGAGAAACCATTGAGTTATCAGCGGAGGGCCGTCCTGAGCTGGTGGAGGAGAAGGAGCTGCCAGTGGTGGACTGTACCTGCTTTGGCTTGCCAAGGCGGTACATCATCGCCATCCTGTCTGGCCTGGGATTCTGCATCTCTTTTGGCATCCGGTGCAACCTGGGTGTGGCCATCGTAAGCATGGTCAATGACCACACTGTCTACAAAGGCAACAAGGAAGTACTTGTGGTAAGTGGCGAAACCGAAATCAAAGGTTTTGGACTCACTTTTACTGTTTCAGTCTGTCTTTGATTAGGACATTTGAACTATTAGACAAGCCTCATAGATTTGTTTCTGTTTTCTTTATACCTGATTGAAGCCAGTGAAGATTTAATTTTCTAAAAGGAAAAGGGAGGGATAAATAAAACACTGATCTCAACCTACGAGAATGATTTGTGCCATCACAAATAGTTTGGAAATCTATCCTGGTCCAATTTGCAACTTGTGATGTAGAAAACACAGTGCACATACACTGAGAATGGACTTTACAGTGAAGTAGGAGACATCTTGTGTCCAGCAGGAAAACTTTAGATAGAAACTAAATATTGATAGATTCTGGAACTTTTTAAGAGTAGTAGATGCCCTTTTAAGGATTTTAATATGTTAAATTATACTTTTTTGTTTTTCTAAAAAAACATATCTGACACACATTATTCTTCCAAAAAAACTATTTGTATATGTTTTATTACATGTATGAAGGAGCTCTTTAAGTTAAAGTCATACATCTTTTCTTCAGGCTGCACAGTTTACCTGGGACCCTGAGACAGTGGGGATGATCCACGGCTCCTTTTTCTGGGGCTACATCGTCACACAGATTCCAGGGGGCTTTATATGTCAAAAATTTGCAGCCAACAGGTGAATTTACAATATTTTCTCCAGTATGGGCTTTACTTTAATCTGGTCTACTATAAATTGGTTGATTGGGTAACAGTTGGGTAATTGTGCTGGGTGTGAAAAAGGGAATAATTTGGGTAATTGTTTTAATCAATTCCCACTGAGCAGTATCAAAACAGAGAAATTCTCAAAAAACCACAACCAGCTTTTGTCAGTGCAGCGTTTGTGTCTTCTTCTCGTCCTTTTTCTGCTGCTGTTGTTGCTGTTGAATATCGCTCTAAGGCAGCTTGTTTGTCTTTTGTGTGTTTAAGAGTGTTTGGCTTTGCCATAGTGGCCACATCCACGCTCAACATGCTGATTCCATCTGCTGCTCGCTGCCATTACAGCTGTGTCATACTGGTCAGGATATGCCAGGGCCTTGTTGAGGTACAGTATATGTCTGTGCTTGCAGGACTCTGTAAGACTTTACCTACATGCATGAGTGTTTCCCTGACTGTATTGTGTCCTTCAGGGTGTATCATACCCAGCCTGCCACGGGATCTGGGCTAAGTGGGCGCCTCCTCTTGAGAGAAGTCGATTAGCCACAACAGCCTTTTGTGGTAAAGTTTCATGACTTACTGACAGATTTCCCTAAAATTCAGTATCTCCTTCCTGCAAAGAGGTTAAAAGAACTGAAGTTGTGGATTTCCATGGCTACTTTTTAACAATATATATTAAGTAGTTTAAGTGCAAAAAGTATCATATGATTATAGGAATGAATAATAATATTTTCTTTATGTTTGATGCTTTTCAAGGATCCTATGCAGGAGCGGTGGTGGCCATGCCTTTAGCTGGGATACTGGTGCAATACACTGGGTGGCCTTCAGTATTCTATGTGTATGGTTAGTATCCTTTTATTCAAATAAGTGTTTGCTTACTGCGGTACTATGGCGGTTCAGCCAAGTAATAATGCATACTCTAACACTCTTATGTAACACTCTTATCTTAAATACCAATATTTCCAGACCCATTAAAGGTCCATTGTGTAACATTTAGGAGGATCTATTGGCAGAAATGGAATATAATATTAATAGGCATGTTTTTATTAGTGTATAATCACCTGAAAACAATCATAATGTTTTTGTTACCATAGAATGACTCTTTTATATCTACAGATACTGAACTATAGATAGGGCTGTTATGTTTTACACATATTTTGTGTGTTTCGTGGCCACCAAAGTTTTCCTTTCTCGCTTGGAAGGGGAATGTGAAGTGAAGTTTCAATCTGCAACTTCACTGCTAGAAGCCACTAAATCCTACAAATTGGTCCTTTTACTAGTGTGTTTCTGTTATTCACAGTCAAGACTGAATGGCAGAGCTTTTATGTGCCTCTCAAGGACTTCAGGTGTTCAGGTGTAGCTTCTTTATTGCTAGTCTTCCTTGTAGCATTTAAGAGCATAGCCCGAACCCCACATTTTGACAGTTGAGTTTCACAACATTAACAGCATGTCATGTATCTACTTCTCATTTTCTCTCTCTGTCTTTCTCACTACTGTACATTTAACTCTGGCTCTCTTGCTCTTTCTCTACTGTACTCACCTCTGTGTCTTTTGCTTTCTCTCTCTTCCTCTCCCAGGCAGCTTTGGGATATTCTGGTATTTGTTCTGGATTCTGGTGTCGTATGAGAGTCCCGCAGCACATCCCACCATCACACCGGAGGAGAGGAAGTACATTGAAGATGCAATTGGAGAATCTGCATCATTTCTTAATCCTCTCCATGTATGGCCCTTTGATCTTCATGTGTAACCTATCAATCTAACACTGAGAATCTCTTAGACCTACATACAAACACAGATAGTGTAGATGTGCTGGATATCAGTAATATCTTCTTTTTTTTGGTGGCAGAAATTTAAAACCCCATGGAGACACTTCTTCACCTCCATGCCAGTCTACGCCATCATTGTGGCCAACTTCTGCAGGAGCTGGACCTTCTACCTGCTGCTCATCAGCCAGCCGGCCTACTTTGAAGAAGTCTTTGGCTTTGAGATCAGCAAGGTGAGATTATATAATCTATACAGACTTTATTTACAGAAGCTAAATTTTAAGTTTTTTTAGAAATGTCACTGTATGCTCACAGTTGGAGTATACCCACAGCTGCAGACACCTAATGTAGCCAGCAGCAGTTTCACTGAGGGTCTCGGCTTCAACTGGAGTTAAAGGGAGATTCTGTTATTTTTTATCTAGGTCTACTGAAGGGTTTGATTACTACAAACAATCTTTAAAGTATTTAAAGTATTTAAATGTTCTGTTGCACAAGAAACAAATGAGTTACAGCAGTTGTTTCAGCTGAGCAATAGTACAGTGGTATATGAACAATTCATATCATACACGAAATAAAAACCAGTATACCGGTTCATCCAGTGTAGTGCCGAGCACTGCTGAGTCTTATTATCATGACTCCTTGTATTTGGTATTTGAGACCTATTTCCCAAATCCTTACAATAGAGTTGATTAGTGCAACATTATCCTTACCCTTGTTCAGAACAGTCACAATTAAGAAAATAAGACCCAGGCTGAAAAATACCAGAATTCCCTTTCCAGGTGTGGATTTGTGTGAATCTGATCCTACATTTTATGACCAGTTTCCGACAATTCATCTATTAATAGAGTTCCAGCTCTACAAAGCACCTGAGAGTGACTGTTACAGTTACTCCCTGACACACTGAGGTTTGGTAAAGTAGTTTAAATGGGCTGATATGTAAATAGCAAGCTAGCTTGTAGTATGGAGTCAAAAATAAAAATCTAGTTTGGATGTCAAAACTGAACTTTCAACTTTCAGCCTCCCGTTGTTATACTAGTAATGAAAACACTGTTCTTGTGTCTCTTTCTCACACACTCTCTCTCTCCTTTCTTCTGTCAGGTGGGCATGGTGTCAGCTTTGCCCCATCTGGTGATGACCATCATCGTGCCTATTGGAGGCCAGCTGGCAGACTACCTGAGAACCCACAACCTGATGTCCACCACCAACGTCAGGAAGCTCATGAACTGTGGAGGTGAGAGTGTCAAACAGAAAAGGGTGCCAGTTGGAGGAGGGTGAGGAGGAAAAAGAAAGCTCAAGACTACACATCTGTCTGGATAAAGTGTGGCACAATATCTGCCCCCTGACATCCAGACACAAGCACATCAATTAAGCCAAACTGTCTTCATCTTGTCATCAGGTAGTCATTAAGATGGCATCACCTCTGCTGTAGCAACCATTGACAGTCTATATAAGGTAGCAACATGAAGAAAGATAAGAGACTTTTACCAAATATCAGCAACAATCTTTAGAAACTTTCTGACGACAGGAATGCAAGTGTGGTTTTTATGTATTTGTTAATGGTTTACATAATTATCCTGAAATCTTAAGGACCTGTAACATATAGTAACATTATTTGTCTGGCACTTTTTTACCCAGTAACACTCATTCACAGTGTTTGAAGTGAATCATGGACAACTTAAAGGTTGTATTAATGTTTCTTCTGCATGTGACCATGTACCATTTCTAACCTAGCAAATAATAATAACAACATAATTATAATGGACTTCTGAATAACAGGTGACCATTGCTTGTTGAGACAGAGTATTGTGGATAGTATTTGTTTTTGATGTGTTTACGTGGACGTGTTTCAGGTTTTGGAATGGAGGCCACCCTCCTGCTGGTGGTGGGATACTCTCACTCAAAAGGAATCGCAATTTCCTTCTTGGTCCTCGCTGTGGGTTTCAGTGGATTTGCTATCTCAGGTAAAAGATGTTATGTATGCTGAAACCCTGATTTAAACAGAATTACAGTTATGTCACCTTTCAACAGTGTAGGTCTGAATGAGTACAGTGTAAATCATCAAATCAACAACTAATGAGATACATTGTATGTTAAAAATAGTTAGTTGCCCATGTTTAAAAGCAATAGTTTGACATTTTGGCTCATACGCTTACTCACTTTCTTGCAGGGAATTACATGGGAAGATCAATACCACTCACATATCTGTCTGTTCAATATATAACACATTATATCTCGTCTGGTAAATCTGTTTAAAAAATAGGAGAAGAAGAATTGTAAAAACAAAAACAAAAAAACGTTTGGTGTTTTACGAGGGTTGTGTGTCGTAGTGTTTCTTGCGAGGCAAATAAATAGTCTGAAACATAACAACTATAAGTGTATCTGACTTGGCCTCATGATGATTAAAAAACAGTAAATCTCTCCCCTAATTGATTTCCCTTTACTCCTTTGTACTCTGTGTTTTTTTTCTAACCATAACCATGAAAATCTGCTTTAGTAACATTAAAAACAACTTTAGAAAGTGGTGGAAATGATGTGCACTGATTTTTGTTCTTTCTCTCAGGGTTTAATGTCAATCACTTGGATATCGCCCCTCGATATGCCAGCATACTGATGGGCATCTCAAACGGGGTGGGAACATTATCTGGAATGGTGTGTCCTCTTATAGTGGGAGCCATGACCAAACACAAGGTAAAAATGATTCACTTGTATCAACTTCACGATGCCATGTATAAAACTTTAAATAGTGTTCATATTTAATGAAAAGGAGATTAGGCAAACATGTTCTTGGACTCACTTCCGTTCCTTTTCAGACACGTGAAGAGTGGCAGGGTGTCTTCCTTATAGCTTCCCTCGTTCATTATGGAGGAGTGGTTTTCTATGGTATGGCTTGACTTTGAATATAGCATTTGGGGAGGCAGGTTCAGAAGAGCTCAGTCTGAACACTAATTATATTTTTTTCTCATTAGGACTCTTTGCATCAGGGGAAAAGCAGCCATGGGCAGACATAGAGGACACCAGCGAAGAGAAGTGCGGTATTATTGATGAGGATGAACTGGCCAATGAGACAGAGGAGCTCTACCGCGGAGGCGGGCAGTACGGAGCCATGAGCCAACCAGTTGTTGGTTCCAACGGAGGAGGGGCCGGAGGAGGAGGAGGAGGAGCTGGGCCTGGATGGGTGTCCGACTGGGACAAGTCTGAGGAGTATGTGCAGCCGCCTGGATACAACTCTTACATGTATGGGGGAGAAGAGGAGAGGGAGCTGACATAGAAGAGTGACATGGTTCAAGTTTAAAAAACAGAAACAGGATAAAGAAAAGATGAAAATTGTTTTGGGGAAAGGGATTGTAAGAGAGTCACTGCTATACTGAATGGACCTGCTGTGTGCTTTTGTACAATATTTACAATTGCACAAATAATAAGTATGGATCTGATTCATTCCATTGTGTGTGTATGTGTGTGTGTGTGTGTGTGTGTGTGTGTTTGTATGTGTGTGTGCGAGCGAGTGTGTAGGCATGTGCATGCTGGTGTTAGAGTTGTTAATGTACACATACACATACAGTATTCATTTGCAAAAACTGAACTCATATCCCAGATTCCTTCCTGGTCCTGAGCTTGTTGTGATTGGCCAGGAGATCTGTTTCCACATCACTGAGGAGATTCTGTTTGTGTGTGTGTGTGGTGGGCTTTCTGCCTGTACAGCAACTCTCTCAAGCCACTGGCATTGTCTTGTATTTAAATTTTTATGTGTGAGCCACATGTTTACTTTTTTGCTGGGAAAGCACCTTTGGGGCCTCTTGAGCTTAAAAAATTGTCCAAATTACTAAATGTAAAGTCATGACTGTACACTGTACTCACACTCATGTGTCTAGTCTGTGTTATTCTGAAGACTCTCAGAACTAATTGAAGTCATATTGTTAATACATTTCTGCATTTGATCAATACACAAACTAAACGCAATCATGCCCAGACATTGGAGATGCAGTCAGTTAACTTTCCTTTACCTCTGAAACATGTTTCCAAAGCATTCATAATTCAAGGTATGCTTGCATGTGGTCGTCAACATGGGTTCATTTATGTGGAAAGAATCTGTTGTGTTTTAAACCACTTTCAAACTATTCAAAGAGGAAGAAGGTGCTTAGGTGTCGTATCAGTCCGTGTTTGTGTGTGTAAAGCTGTTGAGGCTTGTGTTGCAACCTTCTCCCCTTTATGTGTGTGTGCATTTGAATGTGCAAAGGTGTGTGTTTGAGCACAAAGCTACATGTGGCGTCTAGCTGAATCTCACCTGGGTCTGACCTAACTAGGTCACGTCCAGCCAGGCTCATGGGTCACAAATCATCTGACATTTGTGACTTTCCATTCGGTGTGTACGCTCCCATTAGAGAGGTGGCCCAGAATGACAAGTAGAGTGTAATAGTTGCTGTATTGTTTCACTGCTTAACCAGTGAGGAACATATAATATTCCCAGGCATCACAGCACATGCTGCCTCTGTTTCTGCCTTTTTCTGTGTCTCTGTGGCTGCCTCTCCATCTGTCTTCCTCCCTGCATTTAACAGGATGTTCTCGATGTCTTTATTACCTACACGTCAGTCATGTTTGAGTTTGTGGGTCGGAGCTTTTCAGATTGTCTGTATGTATGTGTGTGTGTGTGACGGTGAGTGTGTTGTTGTGTTGGGTGCAGGTGCTGAAACATTGTGCGTTGAGCATGTTTTAATGAGCACAGCAGTGCAGCACCCCGCCATCCCTCTCTTCCTTTTACACACAAACACACAGGATGCTCATTTTATGCAAGCACAGTCGAGTGCACAACACACTGTGCAGAGGGAGTGGTGGCACACTATTTGGTATTTACATAGCTGTCAGTGTGAAGTGCACCCATGGACACAAGGTGGGATTAGGAAGGATCTATGATCGTATATTCACTAATAAAGACCACGCCCATGAAGATATGGATTTAGAATAGTTTATTGCATAATAGGATAGAGGGGGAGATAGTGTAGGAGGGATGGATTGAAGATCCGGAGGAAAGGGTGAGGGACAAAGGGATGAAGGTCGATGGATGAAGGGATAAGGGGATGAAGGGTGAGGGGTGAAGGGATGAGGAAAGAAATCAGGGTCGTGGCAGGATGGATGGATGAGTATGTTGATGGTGGCAGGAAGAAAGGAGAGAACTATGAGAGTTGCGATTCTGAGTGGAAGAGCTGTCTCTTCATGTACTGTACTCTGATTGGATTGAGCCCCAGTGGTTCCTGTATTTAAGCAAAGGACAGAGAAGAGAATGGGGGGATTTGAAGGGGAGGGATGTAACAACTAATAAAGTGTGCGTAAATACTTTTTGTGCAGCAATGGGTTGTGTTCGAGGCGTGGTCTTTGCTCTCAAGCCTACTTATAAAACTTCATTCATCAGTGGGTGTGTTAAGGTATGGTAACAATCATGGCCAATCACATCAGCTCCTCTCGTGTTAAACCAGGAGTGGAGAGTCCAAAGTTAGAGGACGCTAACATTCTCATACAGGAGAGGAACTGTCATAATGTATGAGCTGCACAGTACAACTCTTTGCGCCTGCACATACAGTAGATAGAGCCAACATACTCAGACATGAAAAGACGTGTGCATGCACACACACAACTTCTGTATTCTGTGTGTACTCACAGGTCATGCCAGCACGCAGTATTTTTTTTATTTAAAAGTACATTTACAGATGACTCTTTTCCAGATACGTATTGAGGGTTTGTGATGTGAGCTCACTATTGTGAGAGAGAAAAAAATACACTGCTGGAATGTTAAAAATAATTTCTGTGATTCAAAAGAGGGTTTAATGTTAAAATGTGTTGGTATGTCAATAAATTATTTTAAAAAAGTGATAAAGGCAAGTTGTGTTTTGAGTGAAATGTCTAAAAGACATGAATGATTATTCCTGTGAACAATTTTATTTTTAAGTGTTGTATCGGTGTATTTTTAATCAAGTTTCTCTTTGTCTCAGTTTATGGCTGTTCCAATGTTGTCCTCCTCCTTCTTGATGAAATGTGTGGTGGGAATCAGTGTAGAAATAAATAAAAAAAGGAAATGATAATATTTAAACATGCAAAAATGTGGAAACTATTCTATGTATAAAAGATGTATATGTGAGATATCCTTGTGTATAATAAAATTTAAGCAATTTAAGATGATGTCACTATTTCAGCACCATCATGTCATCATGACGCGTTAAATTAGTATTGAGTTTTTTTACATCATTACAGCGCAAAGTCAGTTCTCTGTCTTTCTCTCAGGACAGATGGATGCAGGATTATCTCTGTGATTTTAGGCAAAGATTAGATAGGAGAGCAGATGCACTCAGTGGGAGAGTGAGGGAGAAACAGAACGTCACAGACAAGGGAAGTGAGGATGACGGACCAGAGGGTGGGGCCTGCTCTCTCTCTCTGTGTGTTCAGTGCAGTGCAACTCAAAGTAAACCTTTAGGAAGCACTTTAAATCGATGTACACACTCGAAATAGCTATTCAACTATTTATTAAAAACATCCTGTGTGAGCCTCTCTCAATCCGGCCCCCGAAAAATATCAAATGAAGAAACAGCATTGTAATGCATTTTTCAGATTCTGAAAGATCTCTAAATTTCAATAATTTGTTGGAAATTAGGATGAAATCCTTGGTGCTTTTAGTTTCTGATTGCTTCAGTCTGAGGTTTATTTTGAAAGTGGTATCGGTCCTAGGATTGTGGTCCTGCAGCCTCCTCTACTGCAGCAACAAGCTACTCCCATATATACTGCCAATGGCTACTCCTCTCTTGACTAATTTAATGTAGCGCTGCAGTTCGTCCCTGTGGCCACTAGATGGCGGTAAAACACACGTAATTCTATATACTCAAGTCAGCCTAAACTGCATTGCCTCTGGTATGAATGAACATCTCTGGAGGGGCGACATGTTGAATGTGGGTTAAATATTCACTCTGTCTTTGGTCTGAAGGACTTATCCGGGTCTTTATCTGAAAATACTCCACTATGTTCACCAGCAAGTTAGATCTTTTTCCTCTGGTGCAGGCGGGTTTCATGTAAACTCTACATACTGTAAAGGCAGACGCACTTTTCCGGTGAACATTTTCTGAATAAAACAATGTTCACAGCTCAATGTGTAAATGAAGGTGGGAAAACATCCTTAAAGATATTACATAGAACTACATGATCCAGGAGTCCACAGTGTTTGGAGCTGGTTGATGATACAGACTAAAATAGCACTCACATAAGCCTGAATACTGTTGTTGATAGTCATCAGTGTAGATATCTGCCCCCTGAACGATGTGGAGTTGAGAACAACCATCTGTGTGAGACTTACAAGTTTGCCAGAGAGACCACGCCCAATTAGGGCTACTCCTAATTGTGATTGGACGCGTACGCTAGCTGTGGGCGGGGATACACGCTTAAACTCCACTGTGATTGGCCCGTTGCAACGTCAGTCTGAATGCTACCGTCTCATTGGTTGTTCGGCGAGGGGAATTAACGTGAAGACGCTCTGCTTACAATGAACCTCAACTAGACTAAATAGGAACTTACCCGACTTCAGGCGTTCAATACTTTTATAACATGAAGTTAGAGTTTTACTTGTAGCTTCGCAGAATTCCGCAGTTCACATTTTGACACGGAACTCTTGTCAGAAAAACAAGTTGGGGACAAATCCTGAAGTTTGTCTACAAGTGTTTTGAATGAGGAAATCGTCTCAGGCTAACGTTATGTAGCAAGCTAATCTCATTTATCCATTCGTAAACTCAGCTATCACTTCACAGACTGTTACACATCCTACACAGAGGTAAGTACGTTTAAACAATCTCCACTTTTACCACCAGCACTCATTCATATCGAGTCAGTGACTATAAAGCAGATTAATGTTATATATATATATATATATATAAAGTCCACTAACGTCAGCGGACAGTAACCTTAAATCTGGGTCAGTCTCTTCGCCATGTCGGTGTAGGGAGGAAGAGGGAAACATCAGCTGCTGTCAGATTTGTTCACCTGATACTTGGCTGATAAATCACTACCCCCTGCTGCTTTAATCCTTTCCAGGCATGACCGAGTACAAACTTGTGGTGGTCGGGGCAGGAGGTGTGGGGAAGAGCGCTCTCACCATCCAGCTCATCCAGAACCACTTCGTTGATGAATACGATCCAACCATTGAGGTGAGAGACCGCTCCTTGTCCTGGGTGAACAGTAATGGAAACTACAGTTTAACGTGAAACCACATGCTCTGTTTCACATGTGCATCACTGGGAGTTGTTCTGTACATTGTACCTGTAATCTGGATTCAAAGGTTTAGATAAATGCAAAGTCACATCAGAGTTAGAGGACACAGGACACAGGACGTGATGTGACTCCCTTATGCTGTAAGTCAGGAGTTAAGTTGAACAACAAGTGGTGGCAAAAGTAGTCCGATCCTTCCTTTATCTTTACCTTTTCATAATAATTAATTTGCTAAACTTGTTGCAGGAGACAACGTTTGTTTGTTTGCAGTTTTATGTTCAATGGAAGAAGTGTTTTTCTCTGATAAATGTTTCACCAGTGCATCTGTATTTCACTGCCTTATAAGTCAACACAGGCTGGGCAGTTGTATGTGTATGACATGATACATATCCAACTAATATAGGTGAATGTAAAATAATCCATTACAAGTGAAAGTCCTGCATTAAAACCCTAACTTAAAAGTGTAAAAGTATTACTGCAGCAGTTAAGTATATTTTAGTTATATTAAGTGTTGCGTTATGCAGAAGAATGGCCTCTTTCAGTCACATTATTATATATTATATTGTAGGATTATTCTTACTGATCCATTAGTGTGTAAAGAAGCATATTAATGTTGTAGCTGGTTTAGGTGGAAGCTAATTATAACTGCAGTTTATTCTGTGACAATGCGTCATATCTTATAAACTGATCATATGTTCTAAACACGATATGTATCTAAAATCTGAATCTGCAAAGTCAAACAAATACAGTGAAGTAAAACGTCACTATGCACAGTGGTACCATAGCAAACACCTGACCGTGCTGTCAGATATCTGCAGCACCGTCAGACCTGTGAAACTCTGCCAGAACCCTTTAGATGTTGACTTAAAGTTAGTAATACCTGGTGAAACCCATTTAAGTGGGGCGCCCTGTTAGCTCAACTGGTAGAACTTGTGCCCCATGTAGCAAGGCTGAGTCCTTGCTCCAGCGACCGTGGGTTTGAGTCCGACCTGTGACCGTTTGCTGCATCATCATCCCCTCTCTTTTCCCCCCTTTTGTCTATCTTCTATCTTCCATATCTCTTTTGTTTATCTCATTGTTTCTTAAAAATGACCACAAGTTGGTAGTCAATCTCTACAGACGGCGTTGAATATGTAAAGCTGTAGGTAAATGGTGTAGATTAGTATTTGATGTTTAAAAAAAGTCTTCAGATTTCTGTAAGTTCATTGCAAACATTCCATTCAACGGGTCTTGTTGCTACATGACGCAGCGGTGTGACTGTTCAGGAATGAATATGATGCAATCCACTGTCAGATTTCTTGGCAGACGTACTGCTTGAACTCTTGGCACCGCTTGCATGATCATGTCAATGCTGCGTTACAGGACTCGTACAGAAAACAGGTGGTGATCGATGGAGAGACCTGTCTGTTGGACATCCTGGACACTGCAGGTCAGGAGGAGTACAGCGCCATGAGGGACCAGTATATGAGGACAGGGGAGGGCTTCCTCTGTGTGTTTGCCATCAACAACACCAAGTCCTTCGAGGACGTTCATCTGTACAGGTACAAGATGCTTCACACACCACCACAGACCAGTACAGTGATACAACACAGCTGGAGGAAGGAACACGGACTAATAGTCTATTTCAGTTGTGTAACTTGGCATAGTCAATAATCCAATTGTGTATAGTGTACTGTGCAGGTTGAGACAGTCTACAAAGGCTGCTTCCTGAGTAGCAGGAACTGCACTTTTAATTATCTGTAACTCATATCTACCAGCGAGCTGCGTGTGGTTACAAGTTCTGTGGGGTCATTTTTACACTGGTTCACGTTTTCTGACCCAAATATGTAACTGAAGACAAGAGTAGACAAGATTTGTCATCTTTAAGCAAAACAATTAGCTCGACAAGCACTTAGAGCCACACACAGCAAACACGTGCTCCTCAAAGCTCAGCGCCTCCGCCTGACCTATTGGGGAAAAATTTGAATGCTAACACACATCATGAGAGCAGGTGAGGCAGTTGACCCAGATCAGTGATAGTAAGTCGGGTGGCCTCAGTCTCTTAGGTGCACGTGTCTCTTCCTCAGAGAGCAAATCAACAGGGTGAAGGACAGTGACAGTGTTCCCATGGTGCTGGTGGGGAATAAGAGCGACCTGAGTACCCACACTGTGGAGACGCGGCAGGCGCAGGAGCTAGCACGAACCTACGGAGTACCGTTTGTCGAGACCTCTGCCAAAACCAGACAGGTATGTAGTTTGCACCAGTGCATGCATGAGCCTTGTTTGAGCAAATAGGACACATGCAAATCAGTACCTGAAATAAAACTGTTAATAACCAAAATGTTATTAAACACATTGAAATTCTGCATCTTGCAGGGTGTGGAGGAAGCTTTCTATTCGCTAGTAAGGGAGATTAGAAGATATAAGGAGACCAACCGCAGCAACAAGAAGAGCAAGAAGAACACTCAGAGACGTTGCATAATACTATAGCAAACTGCACACACCAGCAGCATCCTTTACAGCACTTATTTCATGCTCCCCCCTCACACACTGCACCCCCTCTGTCACTGTGGAGGGGTCCGGCACAGCTCTGGGCCGGGTAGCAGACGA